CCAGCAAGAGGGAGACAGCAAACGAGTCCCCATCTCAATACAACCGTGATGTGTGTACTGGGGGAGCAGTCGATGATGTGGGGGGCCAGGGGAAACCTAGGCTGGGTGGGCGGCGTGTGTGGGAGAAGGGGGGCGAAGGCGGTTCCCCTAGGGAACGCGCTGAACGGCCTGGGTCTCAAGCCCGAACGGGCGCAGGGAGCCAGGTGAAGGGAACAAACAGGGAAGAAAGGTCCCCCCCTGTTCCTCATTTTGGGACTTCGGGGTTCTCCCAACTTGAACCCAAGGGCAGCGGCGACAGGTCCTGGCGACCCGGCCGCCGCCTTCCAGAAAGCCCGTTCGTGACAGCTGAGGTCGGAGCTGCTCAGCGCGCCCGCGGGGCCGCAGGGCGCCAGGCCTAAACGGGCAGTGCCCCCGGAGGGCACAGTCCCGGGGGCACCAGGCACTGCCCGGGTGCCCAAACCGGGCCAAACCTCGGCTCGGGCTGCGCATCCCCGCTCCGGCCCCGCTGACAGCCGCGCCAGGCCGGGCGGGGGCCGCAGCCGCTGAGTCCGTCCCCGGCCAGCCGGGCCGGAGCCGAGGCGCCCGGGCCGTCCTTAGTGAGAAGCGGCAGCGACTCACCCGCTAGGCCGCTGACAGGAGGCCCGACAGGGAGAGTCAACCGCCGGGGATCCAGGAGCACCCCAGCGACTGCTTTGCTCCCACTAATGCGCTGGAGCCGCCTCCTCCGCCCGACGCCGTCGCCGGCGCCCAAGGCTCCCCGGTTGGAGGGGGAGCGCGCCGTTTGGAGACGCCACGACCCGCTCCCCGGAGAGCGAGAGTTCCCTCCTGGGAACCTTAGCAGATATAAAAGATGAGGAGGCTAAAAATGGACAAGCACCTGGGTCAGAAAATCTAAAAAATGGGAAAATATGGATGCGTGGGGTTTTTAACTCTCCCCACGTAGAGGGGACAGATGGTATCGCCCAACCAACCGCCGGCCCGAGTCGCGGCCGGAAAGTGCGCGAGAGTACCCGGGCGGGAGCGTGAAGGGGGCGGGGCCCGGAGGGGTGGGCGGGGCCTGGCGGGGCGCGGGGGTCCCTGTACCTCCTGACCTTCGCGCAGCTACAAGGGCAGGGGAGGCTGGGACCCTCTGTCTACAAAGCGAGCTGGGCATGTCCCCTTCGCTTTTCCATGGCCATGCTCCAACCTGGAAAGAATAACTTTTACATAATAGCCACGACAGCGCCTGCTCTGTACCAGGTGCCGTCTACTAGTAAGTACTGGAGCACATATTCCCCCTCCAGTCTTGCGAGGTGAGTACGAATGATGCGATCGGCATGTGCCCAATGGAAAACGGAGGCACAGAGAGGGGAAGCCTCTTGCATAAGGTCGCCCAGGTGGTGGACTTGGGGTTTGAGCCCTAACCCTAACGCTAATGTATTTTCGCTGCAGGCCTCCAAATAGTGATACTGTACTTCCCCCATGTTAACACATACCTGTTTGTTTCACATTTCTGAAACCAATATGTGTTTTCAGTTCCAGTTCCATTGATGAGGTGCCCTGGTTTAACTGGCAGCAGTTTTAATTTCGCAGTGTATGGATGTATCGGCTTCAATGAGATGCAGTAATACCCACGTGCTCTGTTTATGCGTTAACTCATCTACTTCTCAGAGCAGCGCCGTGACGTAGGTGTCATTGTTATCATCCCTGGTTTATAGATGAGGAAATGGAGGTACAGAGATTAGGTCACCCTGCCCAAGCTCCCAGGGCTAGTGAACGGTGGAGCTGGGATTTGAACCAGGCAGCCTGGCTCTCTAATGGGTGCCTCCTGCTTCTTACAGCCTCCTAGGGAATCAGTGTTAAGTCCTTCAAGTCCATCTCTGATGCCTGCTGTTCATGTTAACCAGATTGTGCCTGAGTCTGTTTAGGGAGATTGGGAGGACAGAGTGGAGGCATTCAGAATGGATGACCTTCACCTGCCCCCAGGGGTAGCCCTGCATATAGGGAACATGGCTGGACAGATGGCCCCTGCTGGGCACTCATGTTTCAAAACATTGGCCAAAGCAGGGAGGTCTGTGTCATCTCAATCCACCCAGTTATTTGGGGGAAGAAGTCAGTTTTATTATCTGTATTTTTTTCAGAAGAAGAAACGGAGGCTTGGAGGCCATGTGACTTGCCTGAGGTCACATACTTGCCCGGCCTGTAAATGACTGTCCCGGGTTTATCAGACCCTGAAGCTCTGCTCCATCCTCCTCCCTGGGCTATTCTCTGTGACAGGACTGAGGCGGAGGCATTTGGTGTAGGCAGCTCTGCGGGGACCTGGATGCCTGCTGCCAGTGGGCAGAGCTGGGCATGCGGAAACTGGAGAAGGTCACCCGGGGACAAAACCACAGAGGCTGTCCCTTCTCCCAGAAGTTTTCCGGGGAGTTGGGAAGACCGGAAAACACAATCTTGAAGATGTAGTATTCTTCAGGAAGAGAATCAGTAAGGCCAGAGGGAGGCTCCCAGCTGAGTGCTTCTGGGTTCCAGCTTTCCGGTGCTGATGGTCAAACGTTCTCTTTGTTTAGAATGTGTTTTGTAAGTTCTCTTGGTGTGTTTGCTTGTTGGTTCACATCCCTTACACATTAAGCCCAAAGATTGTTAGAGGGCCCAAAAGTATCTACCCTCACCCATCTCCTCTCTTCTGAGCACTTATTAAATGCTTTCTGAAGATGATGGCTCAGGAAGATTTGCTGAGGTCATACGCCTTATCCAGCGCTGGGCTAAAACTCCCGTGTAAAGACGGACAAGGAAAATGAAAGCCAGCCGGGGAGGGAGTAGTCTAACCCAGAAGGAAGCGGGCAGAGAGAACAATTGGAAAACAGTCCCAGGAGGCATAAAGCACGTGGGTGCCGTGCGGGGCAGATGCTGAGGGACCGAGGGGCTCCCCCACAGCTCTCTTTGCAGGGGGAGCGGGGGTGGGGGGGATGGACTGGCTTTCAGCATAAGGATAAGGATTCTCAACTGGAAAGGAAAGGTCCTGGATAGAGAACCAGAGCATCTGGGAGGGGCCCCCTTTGCAGCAGGTCGCTCGGGGTGCCTCCTGGCCTCCCAGCTCCATAAAGTGAACAAGCATTCCCGGAACTGGAGGGAATACCAAGGCACTCAAGGTATTTAAATGCAAGTCACTTTTGCCAAGATTTAATTTTCTCTTAATTTCTATATTTAGTTCCCATCAAAATTAGGAGCTGCCTCCCCAACTGGTCTAGGTCTAATTTAGATTTTACTAATTATATTTTTACTCTGAATAATTTATCATTGCACCAGTAGTAGAAGGACTCCTATGTGGCCAGATGCACCAACTGATAACATTTTGTCACGCTTGCTTTATCACTCCCTCTCTCTACACAGTTGGTACAATAAATACTAAAGGTCCCTCACACCGGTGCACAATCGGGGCTGGGGAGGGACGATGGGAGGGCTCCAGGATGTGTCTGGCTGTCTCACCCAGTCCTGATCGGCTGGATCCCAGCAGCAAGCTAAACTACCAGTCCGAGCGTCTTCCCCCTGGTGGTCAGTGCACGTCATAGTGACTGGTTGAATGGATGGTCGGACACTCAGCATATTAGGCTTTTATTATATAGGTTATATATCACAGTACTGTATCATTATCAAATTCAGGAACTTTAACAGTAATATCACAGGCTCGAACGTTTGGCAGGAATACCCCTCGGGAGCACGTCAGGAGGCACAGGGCGTCTGTTGGTCCCATGACTGATGATGTCAGCCTGCATCTCCCAGTTAAGTGGGGTCACCTGCCATTCTCTACTGTAAAATTACCGTTTCCCCCTTTTGGAACTAATTAGTAACCTGGGGGTAAAATTACTGAGACTATCCCACATATCCTGCTTGTCTTCAAATTTTCAAATGGTTTTAGAATCTTCCTAGTTGGCATGGCTCAGTGGTTGAGCATCGACCTATGACCCAGGAGGTCAGGGTTTGATTCCCAGTCGGGGCACATGCCTGGGTTGTGGGTTCAATCTCCAGTGTGGGGCGTGCAGGAGGCAGCCGATCAGTGATTGTCTTTCATCATTGATGTTTCTCTCTCTCTCTCTCTTCCCTGAAATCAATAAAAATATTTTTTAAAAAGAATCTATTGACTCTTGCTGAATTCATTATTACTAGAATGGTTGCAAATGGTGATTTTCTGGTTCTCTTTGACAATTAATGTTTAAACTTTTTATTTTGAAAAATTTCAAACTATAATAACATTGGGTAACAGTACAATGAACATCAGCATAGCCACTACCTTAATGAAACAAGCCATATTTGCTTTATGTATCTATCTATCTATCTATCTATCTATCATCTATCTATCTATCTATCTATCTATCTATCTATCTATCTATCTATTATCCTCTATTTTTTGCTGAACCATTTCAGAGTAAGTTGCAATGGTCATGGCATTTCACCCCTAAATACTTCAACCTGCATCGCCTAAGAACAAGGACATTCTCCTACCTACTCATAATACCGTTATCACATCCAAAAAAATGAACAATTATGTCCTAATATCAAGTCCATATTCAAATTCCCACAACTGTTCCTCAACATGTCTTTATAGCTATTTTCTTGAACCAACATCCAATTAAGTTTCACATACTGCATTTGACTATTACGTTTTTTAATCTTTTAAATTCTAGAACAATCTCCCCATCCAGGATGTGGACTTTTTAAGAAGACTGGACCAGATAGCGTATAGAATGTTATCCATCCTGGATTTGTCTGATGGCTCCTCATGGCATCATTAGTTCATGCCTTGCTTCCCTGTTTTTCCTGCATCCTGAAAGTTAGGTCAGAAGACATGATCTCATCAGGTTGGACATAATGGCCAGAACATTGTGTGGGTGAAGCCAGGCGTGTCTCATTGCACCCCATCAGGAACACGAATGCCTGGTGGTGTCACTTTCAGCGATGCTAAATTCGATCTCTTGGTTAAGATCCCTCCACAGAAAAGGTATATATATTTTTCCTCTTTATAATTTGCAAGTAATCTCTGATGATGCTTTGGCACATATCCTGTCTCCCTACAACCTTTCAACCTTTCATTCATGGTTTCAGCATCCACCAGTGGTCCTTGCCTGATACACTGGGGGTTACAAAATAGCAAATTTTAAAATCCTATCATTCCTTCTACATTCTTTTGTAAAGAAGAACTTCCCTTCAGTAACTGGGGGTGAGCTCCAGTTCCCCCTAAATGCTGAACTTCTTATCAGTTTTTTTTAAAAATAAAATATTTGAATATGTGCATAGTATCCTATTTTACAGATTTATCATCATTTATTAAATCAGATCTCCCATTTTGGGATATCAAGATGCTATTTATGTTTGTTAGGTTTTCTTTTTTTAAAACATATTTTTTATTGATTTCAGAGAGGAAGGAAGAGGGAGAGAAAGATAGAAACACTAATGATGAGAGAATCATTGGTTGGCTGCCTCTGCACACCCCACACAGGGGATCAAGCCCGCAACCTGGGCATGTGCCCTTGACTGGAATCGAACCTGGGACTAGTCAGTCCACAGGTCAACACTCTATCCACTGAGCCTAACCGGCTAGGGCGTTATCTGTTTTCAGAATAAGTTGACACAATAGTCACCCCCAATGGCAACTAATTTAATTAATTAATTTATTTATTTAAGAAGAAAGAGGAAGGGAGGGGGAGAGAGAAACATTGATTGGCTGCCTCCTACATGTCCCCTACTGGGGACCAAGCCTGCAATTCAGGCGTGTGCTCCGACTGGGAATCGAACTGGTAACTTCTTGGTTCATGGGTCAATGCTCAACCACTGAACCACACTGGCCGGGCTTTTTTCCTTTTTTTTTTATAATCACTAAGAACTCTTGGATTTTATCTATTCAATGTTTTGCAGTAGGTCATAGTCATGAGTGTTTTTAATGATCAAATTGTCCTAATTATGGCCTGGGGAAACCCTTTACACTGGCGAAGCGTCCTTGTGATGTGTCCCCATTAGTCTTGAGCATGTTCTTGCTTTCTGGCACAAGGTGCTCCAGGCTCACCTGGAATCAGCCCTGGAGGCAGGCTTTCCTCTAGTTCCTTTCAGTCAGAAAAGGCTCTTAGAAACCAGAATCTGGGCACTAGGTATGCTCATTGCTACACCAGTTGTCACAAGCACTTTTGACAGGTAAAATACTGTAATACCAAGCAAGCTATTTTATTTATCATGATTTACTTTCCTTTATCTATTTATTTATTTTAATTCTTTATTGTTGTTACTTTCCTTTTTAAGAAAAATAGTTTTATTGATTTCAGAAAGGAAAGGAGAGGGAGAGAGAGAGAAACATCAATGATGAGAGAGAATCACTGATTGGCCCCACACAGGGAGTCCGCAACCAGGCATGTGCCCTGACCAGGAACCCAACCGTGACCTCCAGGTTCATAGGTCTACGCTCAATCACTGAGCCAGGCTGGGCTACTTGCCCTTTTTTTTTTTTAAAATATGTTTTTATTGATTTTTAGAAAGAGAGGAAGGGAGAGGAATAGAGAGAGAGAGAGATCGATGAACAAAACTTGGCCCACCTCCCGGGCTACTTTCCTTTTAATTTCAGTGTTACAGCCGAAATTAGGCAATGCCTCCCCTATTTGGCCTACGCCTTTGATTTTAAAAATTATTTTTGTAAGAAGCCAATTAGTGCAAAACCACCGATAACAACAACAAAAAAATGCAGTCCTTGCTCTCCCCAACCCTTTCCTATTCCTTTCAGGGGTAACCATTCTTTTAGTTGTTGCTTATAGATTTACCTACATATTTTAAAATAATAAATCTATTCTGTAATATTTTGGTTTGTCTATTTTAGAGATGATCTATTACGATCACTAAGGATTTTTAGCTCTCACACACCCCATTATCATCCCCTCCCTCCCCTTACTATTCTTGCATCACAATTTTTGGTTAAATACACATTCAGTGTTTTGATTATTATGTCCACATAAGTCTTATACAACACTGAGCCAATCAGTGTACTTTCTCTCGCAACTTTTTATTTTTCCCGATGTTAGTAATTGCCTATTTTTTAATTTGTTTTGTTCTTGTTGAACATCTAAATCTCCTTACACCCTCCAAAATCCACATAAACCTCCAAGGTTTTCCTTGTATTCAAATCTGTCAGGTAATTAGCCTTTCTATTTCTTAATTTCTTGGAGCCTTCAGACCTCCTTTCCTGGGTCGCTCTCTGGGACTTGTATCAGCTACCATGAGGGACTTCCTTACAACTTTGGGAATAGCTTTATTTCACTCTCACACTTGACTAATAGATTATATGTAGATTTTGGGGTTGAAAGTCATTTTTTCCCAGCACTTTGAAGGTATTGTCCCACTGCCCTCTAGCTTCTCTTGTTGCTTTTGAGAAAGAAGCTCATTGCGTTCTTGGCCATTCACATAATCTGCGTCTTCTCTCCCGAGTCTTTCATAATCTCCTTATCATGCGTATTCTGAAATTTAAGATGGCGACTTCGCCCTACTGGAGATGTTCTTTCATTCATTGTTCTGGGCATATGGTGATCTTTCCATTCTGGATA